TTGTGATGAATTTGTAAATGAAAATCAATTAAAGATATTTATTATTCATATACGGAATAATAGTGAGACGAATGGTGTCTTTATTGGCTATGAGTTGATTGACTCGCATAATGTTGGCCTCTTTCACAGACTCGCCATCGATGGCCAGAATCTCGTCTCCGATCTCAAGAACTCCTGTCAAACACTTCTGCGTTTCCTCGTCTTTCATACGCGAAACAAAAACGCCTAAACAGACAAACCATACAAAACTCGTTATCAAAAATATAACACAAAATACATAAATATAGTGCCAATAGTTAGGTGTGAGTGCAATACCTTTGATGTGGTTGACTGTCCCGCGGGCCACGAAAAAGCCAAACGCGCGGCCCTTTTGGCGACGAATCTGAATGACTTGCGAGGAATCGGAATTCAATTTAATCAATTCGCCCCAAATTCTGTCCAAACTCTCTGAACACTCATTTGTCTCAAAATTTTGTGCTTTCAATGATTGACTTTTTTGGTTGTGAGACAAAAGGGTTTTATGACTATAGGAACGACTCATCCTTTAAAAAGCGAAACAAAATATAAGTAATTTTGATAATAAAAGCATTAAATTAATAAATAAAATATACTTTTCGTGCTTTTCGGGTGAATTGAGTCGATTAGCCCTCCGGAGACTCATTCGGTTGCGAATATTCTTGACAAATGACGGCGACCTGTCTATCCGTAAGGGCCCACCACTGCTACCACTGCCAGCGCCTGTCTGTGCAATACTTGTCGAACTGCCCTTTGGGTTACAATTGATTCTGAGATCCGTTTGCGATAAACTCCTGGCGCTGTTGTGAACAGTATTCATATTGACGACACTCTTTGACAAATTCTTATCCGTATTGAAAGCTCTCGTAAAAACCGATTTAAATCTTTGCAAAAAACTTTTTGATTTCGTTGGCGACGAAGAATTCAGTTTTGTTTGATTCAAATCGATTTCACTAATCGCACCCTTCATGCGATTCCTTAGTATCCCTTTCTTCATGTCATCGCCGGCCGAATACGAGTGCGAAAAGCGTTGATTCACGCGATCGTCAAACGACGCGTTCAAACCCAGCCTATCGTTAGTGATGTCGTCGTCGTCATCGCCGTCGTACTGATCCGGATATATCTGATCCGCAGATATGTATGAGCTCTTCGATGGACTCAATGCATTCACTTTTCGAATATCGTTAGGAATCGCTTTAAGGATAGATTTCCGCGAATCGGAGGACAACTGTTTGCTCGGCGACGACACACACAACACATCTCTATTGCCGGCGCCGCAGACCTCTTGTTCCGTATTGTGTGTGCTTTCAAACGAATCCAATTTGTTATTATTTAACCACCGATTCACATGACTATTGGCTGAATGAACGCTATTATCCACAGGCTTTTCGGTCGGATATATTGTCTCGTATAACGTGTCCATAGTTTGAGCGAATTCTGCACTCTTGATGAAAGCCGGTCGCGCGAAGGCGTTGACCATCGACGCCGACTCCAACTCATCGGACATACGTTTGATGC